CTCAGGTGATCCACCTACCTCGGCCTCCCAAAATGCTGGGATTACAGGTGTGAGCCACTGCACCCGGCCCAGGATCACTCTTTAGGTAGACCCCACAGGGTGCTTCAGTTTAAAGATTTACCCAAACTCAGGCCTTCTCCCTCCAGAGAGCTGGAACTTTAGAGAAGAACCTGTCTGCTATAGAAGAACTATAGCAGAACAGCTGCTATAGTTCCAGTTCATAGGAATTTGCAGGGCATGATAAGCATGTCTGTACTGTAATGGGAAAGGGCTTCAGCCTCTTGATCTGCTAGCTAATTGCACTACTTCAGGCAAGTCATATAAGTATGATTCCTTATCTGAAAACTAAGGGAAGAGGACTGGATGATCTCTTAAGGTCTTTTCCTGCTTGAAAATGACATGATTCTTATGAATGCTTGTGTATATAACCAAGTGTTCTGGTTTACCTGTTGCTAAGTAGAACCACCCCAACACTTAATGGCATAAAATAATAACCATTGTGGTATGCTCATGTACTATGCAGGACAGAAATTCACAAAGAGCACAGTGAGAGTGGCCTGTCTCCCACAGTGTCTGGAGCCTCCTTTGGGAATGGCTCCATTGGAGGTGACTTCAATGCCTGGGAGCTGGAATCATCCGGACACTTTTTTGCTGACATGCCTGGTGCCTGAGCTAGCATGAATTGAAGTCTAAGCTCAGTTGAGTTTGTCAACTAGAGCACCTATTTGTGGCCTCCACGCATGGCTTGTGTTTCACACAATATGGCAGCTGGGTTTCAAGAGGGAATGTCTTTTTAGTTATAATTCTGTCACATTTTATTGGTTTCAAGCAAATGACTAAGGCTAGCCCAGATTCAAGTAGTAGACTCCAGAACTTGAAGGGGGATTCACATTGCAAAGGAGCCATCTTTGTTTATTTTGGTTTATAATTTGCCATTATAAACCAAAATAAAATTCTAAGCCCCTCCAGCCAACTGAAAGGATTCCTTCTCTTGGCCAAGGACATTCCAAAGTAAACCTGAAAAATGAGTTCAGGCCATGATGGGAAGGGAGGGTTGGACATGCCTCATTATGCCCTCCTCCCCTTGAAATTCAGGTACAACTGACCAGCATTAGCACTGAAACAGAGATTTTAAGATTGACAAAAGAGCCAGCATGGTGGCTTACACCTGTAATCCCAGTACTTTGGGAGACCCAGGTGGGTGTATCACCCTAGGTCAGGAATTCAAGATCAGCATGGCCAACATGGGGAAACCCTCTCTCTACTAAATATATAAAAATTAGCCAGGTACATGCTTGTAATCCCAGCTAGTTGGGAGGCTGAGGCAGGAGAATCACTTGAACTCGGTGGTGGAGGTGAGCTGAGATTGTGCCACTCCACTTCAGCCTAGGTGACAGAGACCCTGTCTTAAAAAAAAAACAAATTCCGGGCTGATTGTAATATAGCATCACATAACAAATAGCAGGCCCTGGAAGTAATCAAAGTATTTTACCCCCAAATACATTTCTTTGATATATTTTGCAATGACCCTGAAAAACTCTCTCTGTTGGAGAAAAATCTATGGTCTGTAGAAAATTCCCTTCTCTTTTCAGGTCTTTTCCTGATCCAGGAGAGATTAAACTAAGAGTTTGGCACTGTTTAGGGTCTAATAAGAGATATTTACCATCTATTCTCTCTGAATCCTACTAGCTGGAGGCTTCATCTACATAATAAAAACCTTGATGTCCACAATCCCTTGTCTTAACCCAGTCACTCTCTTCGATTGATTCCAAGTCTTTAGATAATAACTTAACTCTTTCTAGCAATTGCCAATCAGAAAATCTTTTAATCCATCTATGACCTGGAAGCCTCTGCTTTGAGTTGTCTCACCTTTCTGGACCAAACCAATGTATACCATGTATTGATTGATATCTGCTTGTAACTTCTTTCCCCCTAAAATATATAAAATCAAGCTGTAAGGCCAGGCACAGTGGCTCACCCCTGTAATCCCAGTACTTTGGGAAGCTGAGACAGATGGATCATGAGGTCAAGAGATCGAGACCATCCTGACCAATATGGTGAAACCCTGTCTCCACTAAAAAATACAAAAATCAGCTGGACATGGTGGCACACACCTGTAATCCCAGCTACTTGGGAGGCTGAGGCAGGAAAATTGCTTGAACCTGGGAGGCAGAGGTTGCAGTAAGCTGAGACCGTGCCATTGCATTCCAGCCTGGGCAACAAGAGGGATACTTCGTCTCAAAAAAAAGAGTCATCCCTCACTTTACTAGGCTGGCCAACTTGATTCTTCCTTTTCTCAATCGTCCTTGGTCTCTCTCCTTCTCTTCCCTGTGGCTTCTGCCACTTTTTCTTCTCTTTCCCTTTTTCAACACTGGGTATTGAAATACGGTGTATCAAACAATGGCCTTGAAGGACATAGATTGTGCTTGAAATTATGGGGTAAGACTCATAACAGAAGTGAAAGGGATCATTCAGCTGTTGGTGGTTATTAGAGAAGCTCAAGATATGAAACAGACAGAAGTAGAGCACCCATCTATAAGGAGACTCCTGACATATCTCATCAGTCACCAGGGTCCTAAGGAATTACATTTGGAAATTCTTCAATGTCTCTTCCATTTATAGATGGGGAAAATGATCTCAGAGAAGTGAAGTGATTTTCCTAGACCACACATAGTTTTTATGCCTCTTTGGAAATCTCAAAGAATCAAAATGGCAGTTGCACTTGATAGACATAGTGAACTCCAAGTTTTTCATCAAAGAATCAGTATGTCAGTATTTTCAGTTCTTTGTCCTCCATTTTACAGTTTAGCTTCCTTGTAGTTTCAGTAAACAACCTTTTCCACCAGTTCTAATCAGTAGTTCACATCTGTTCCCCAACTCCCCTGCTCTGTTCTGACTCATCCCGGTCACCTGCTCTGATCACTTGCTCCAGTCACCTGCTTTGACCTAGGTCTTCCCTGGCAACCTGCTCTGACCTGTCCCATAATCATCCTTCCCGCCAAACTACCCACCCCACCACTCCAGCTCATAACCCTGCTCCATTTAAAATAGCCAATTGGGATTAGACTAGACTGTGTGGTCTAACCCTAGCCAATAGGGGAATGACATAGCAGTAGGAGCTACCTCCAGCAAGAATAAGAACCCCTTCCTCTCCCTTGTCCAGGTATGCGTTCACCATTGTTCCATCTGTGAGCTGCACCCTTCTACAGAAGTAAATTGCCTTGCTGAGGAAATGTATATTTGAGTGCTACTTCTTTTGCGGCACTGAAAATTTACATATAACACATTTTTCCCTTTTAAAGATTTTATTTGTGGCAGTCTAACATTAAAATCACTGCTATTCAAAGATACATTTTTCACATCATAAATTTAGACTCTATAGAAAGCAGTATTAAGTTCTAGCACTGGGAGCACATTAAAAGGTTGCTTTTCAAGTGTTTAATGGAACACATGTATCTTCTCAAGAGTGGTGCTTTAGCATGGATATAAAGAGGAGAAATTCTAAATGAGGCCATATTCTGCAGAGGAAAAAAATAAGCCTTATGAAGAAAGAAAACAGAAAATCAGATTTTTAAAGCCTGGTCTGGGAAGATATTTAGGGTTGTTTAACTAAACTCAAGTATATCTAAGAGGTTGACAATTCATTCTGTTAACCTATACAATTTAATATCCACAACAACCCTATAAGTTAGACACTCCCAGGTTTAAGCAATTCTCCTGCCTCCTGAGTAGTTGGGATTACAGGCACCTGCCACCATGCCCGGCTAATTTTTCTATTTTATAACCATTTTACAAATGAGGAAATGGAGTCCCAGGAGTTAAATAATTTGCCTGAAATCACATAGCCAGGTGTGGTAGAGGCAGGTTATAAGCCAAGGGGGGCACACACACACACACACACACACACACACACACACACACACACTGGAAGCCACATGAGGTTAAGAACCATATCCAGCATCTAGGACAGGGCAAGGCACACTGAAGGTGATACCTAAAGATGTGTTGATTGACTAAATAAGCCAAAGGTTAACAATAGTTTTTTTTTTTTTGATGAGAGGTAGAGGATAAAGCAACCCTTTTATTGTTGACTTCTTGTGTTTTGTACTTGCATTGTTTTTTTTTAGATGGAGTTGCCCTCTGTTGCCCAGGATGTAGTGCAGTGGCACTATCTCAGCTCATTGGGACCTCCACCTCCTGGGTTCAAGCGATTCTCCTGCCTCAGCCTCCTGAGTAGCTGGGACTGGGACTACAGGTGCGTGCCACCATGCTTGGCTAATTTTTGTATTTTTAATTAGAGATGGGGTTTTGCCATGTTGGCGAGGAGTCTCAAAATCCTGACCTGAAGTGATCCACTCTCCTTGGCCTCGAAAGTATTGGGATTACAGGCATGAGCCACTGTGCCCAGCCTACTTGAATTTTTATGATGAGCATATTGGCAGATCACAATTAGTGTTCAACAGATATCCATGTGATTCTCTATATTTCCCATCCTCTATGCTTCTAGGTGTGTTCATGGGACTAATTCTCACTATTGGAATGTATGTGTAAATAGTGGGTCTCCTTCAGTCTGAGGCAATTAAGAGACAAGGACTTTTGGGGGCCATCTCTGAGGCTGGTTACCACAGAGACCATAAGATATTCAGCAATACGATAGCCTCAGTTTTCCTGTGTAATGTAAAGGGCACATGAAGACAAATGTCAGGTTGTTGTCTTGTTGTATAATTCCCTGAAATTATCTTATTTCAAGGAAATAAGATGTGTTAAAGTTGTGTTGTACTTAACTATGTGTTAAGAACAAAACTATGTGTTAAGTACAAAACACAAGTAGACAATAAAAGGGTTGCTTTATCCTTCTACCTGTCATAAAAATGTTAACATTTGGCTCATTCAATCAACACGTGTTTAACACATCTTTGCAGCTTTCCTGCCTTACTAGAATATCAGCTTCCTGACAGTGTAAAGCTTGTGTCTGTTCTGTTGTCTGCTGTTTCCCTGGTGCCTGACACAGTGACTGCCATATGAGAAGAGTCCCTAAAATAGTGAAATAAATGAAGAATTGAATGAGTGAAGTCCTGTGGGTACCTTAGTATGGGCAAAGCTGGAAAACAGTGATGGAGTCTTCCATAGCAGCATCCTGAGAAGATACTCTTGAGGGAGTGAGAGCTCATTTTGAGGACACCAGCAAACACGGCCTAAGAGGAACTTAAAAGGTGATATCACCTGGACTTGCTTTCTCAGGTACTCTTTTAAAAGGATGTAATTCTTAGCTGTCCCAGGAAGACTAACCAAGAGTACTATTAATAACTGCCTTATGAAGCATTTTGTGATCTATCATTTAGGATATTTGTTTAGTTACTGTAACAGGCACCAAGTAACAATGGCTTAAACAAGATGGTCTATTTGTCTTTCAAATAAAAGTCCAGCTGGTTAGGCAGCCCAGGAAAAGTAGGCTGTTCTGCTTTATGTGATGGTCTGAGGACCCTTATTCTTTCTGTTTTGTTGGTCTTCCATCTTCCGGGGTGTTGTCCTATCCACATGATTGAGTTGAATGCTTACCACCATGTCTGCATTTCAGCCTCAAGAAAGAGGAAAGAAGAAAGGGAAAGCATCCAACTTTCTATTAAGGATGTGAACTAGAAGTGACATACTTTACTTAGGCTCACATGCCAGTGGTGGGAACTCAGTCATATGGCCACACCTAGTTGCCAATGAGGCTGGGATATATTATCTCTAGTTGGACAGCCATGTACCCCCCAAAAACATGGGGGTTACTATTACCAAAAGGAAGAGGGAGAGTATGAATGGGTGGGGATTGGCAGTCTCTCATCAGTAGGAAAGCATCATGGCTGATGCTGAGAAACTCTTTGTCCAAGTCTTTATGGCCTATACATGTAACTCCATATTACTGACAATGTGCATTACAGGATGTGATAGGTGGCTTCTAAAATGGCCCCAACTGATTCCTGTCTGCTGGTACTCAAGACCTTGTGTAATCCCTTTTTCTTGAATGACTTCCTTCAAGTGAATAGAATGGATAGGCTGCCACTTCTGTGATTACATTATTAAAGATGTACCACCATCATCCTAGCGGACTTTATTGACTTTGCGGCTTGCAAGCTTTGATGAAGCAGCCATGCTGGAGAGGCCCATATGGCAAGAAACTAAAGTCAGTCTCTAGGCAATAGCTAACAAAGAACTGAGGTCCTCAGTCCAACAGCCCACAAAGAACTGAATTCTACCAATAACCACTTGAGTTTGGAAGTAGATCCCTTACCAACTGAGCCTTCAGATTAGACCCCAGCCTTGGCTGACACCTTCAATACAGGCCTTATGAAAGACCCTGAAGCAGATGATACAATTAAGCTGTGCCTGGACTTCTGATGCATAGAACCTGTGAGATAATAAATGTACATTGTTTGAAGCCTCTAAGTTGCTGGTAATTTGTTGCAACAAAAAATAACTAACACATAGAGGTCTTTGTTAAGACTGCTGTACTAGGTCTGTTTTAGGAGCACCGTACCTATTCCTTCTGAGGCATGACCCTTCCATATCTCCAGATCCATCAGTCTTCCACACAACACACACCCACATCACTACCACCTCTTCTTGATCTGAGACATTCTCCTTCTGTCTTCAACTGTGACTTCTTCCACCTCCTGCCTTGTGGTTTTTGCTGTTTTTTTTGTTTGTTTGTTTTTGTTTTTTTTGAGACGGAGTTTCACTCTTGTTGCCCAGACTGGAGTGCAGTGGCACGATCTTGGCTCACTGAAACCTCCACCTCCTCGGTTAAAGTGATTCTCCTGCCTCAGCCTCTCGAGTAGCTGGGATTACAGGCATGTGCCACCATGCCCAGTTAATTTTGTATTTTTAATAGAGACGGGATTTCTCCATGTTGGTCAGGCTGGTCTTGAACTCTTGACCTCAGGTGATCTGTCTGCCTTGGCCTCCCAAAGTGCTAAGATTACAGGCGTGAGCCACTGTGTCTGGCCAGGAATGTCTTTAAAAGCTGGAGTAATGAGACTTGGGAAATGCAAAGCAATGACTGTTAGATATTGGGAAGTTGAGATTGCCTCAGAGAAGCCATCAGACCCAGGATTCTGGGAGAGGTAGATAGAGACAGTTAGCAGCTTCCTAGAACCACCACTTTGCCCCCACTCAAACAGCTCAAGGAAGAAAGGGATTCTGGTCTTTAATCTGAACACACCTCTTATAAATGCTAATGGGAAGCAATAATACCAGTTAAAACTATGGCATCTTTACCATACTGACCATACTTGTAGTACCTTATATTCAGAGCAAAATACTTACTGAGCATGTATTTTGCCAGGCAGTATATTAGGCTCTGGTATGTGGTAGTGAATAGCCTCTGCTCTCCTGGTGTCCCTGGGTATTCTGCTAACTTTCTGTATTTCTTACTGGACTGCAGGCTCCGTGAAGGCAAGAATCTTGTATGACTTTTTCATGACAGGTGTTTATCTGTGCCATCTGTAAACATTTAATAAATATTTGTGGAATACATGAATCTGAAAGTGAATGGAATGATAAAGGGGGAAGACACATCAGAGGAGGGAGTAAGATTTTATTTACAACATGGTGACTTTACTAGAATGGAAACTCTATTAGGGCTGGACCCTGATGAGTATTGGTTGGTTCATCTGTACAATAAAGAGATTTGATTTGGTGAACTCTGAGATGATTTTGGTTATAAACCTTAATGACTCTTTGATTCTGAACTGTCACAGAAAGATATGAGCCCAGAATAAAATATCTAGAACATATATATTTAACTCAATTTTTGTGACTTCAGTTCAGAATTTAATTAATTTTAGTTGGGAATTTAGAAAACCCAAGTGACCATTTAGTGTCTTTATTCTTATATTTTGACAGGAAAAGGATCATAACATCTACTACGCATTTGACACAGACCCAGGTAAATAAGATAAAGCTTCTAAGTTACTTCTCCTCTTCAAGATCGTGGAATATATTGTGTCAGACCTCAGCAATCAACTGTCGACTTTTAAAAAAGGAAAATTAGATAGGATTTATTACCTGAGCATTTGCCATTGTCAAAATGTGTGGATGTTACACCATTCACTATGTTTTTCTCTTGTAAGGAAGCATTCTCTAATGGTGATCTTCCAACCACCTGTCTTAGAGTCACTGGGGTGATGGTTGTAATGAAACCAGCTTCCTCACCCCTGGACCAAACAAATCAGCAGTTCTAGGGATGTGGCTCAGGATCCTCCATTTAAATAAGCATCCTAGGTAATTTTCATGCATGTAAAAAGCTGAGAGCCACCATTCATAGTCCTTTGGCAACTTCAGACCAAAGCTTCTCTCTATATTTCTTCCCTGAGTCTTTTCTCAGTCTCTGTGCTCCTCAACCATCTCTCCCTTTGCTAGGCTGCGGGATTGCTATTGAGTTTGCTTACTTGTTAATGCATCATGGATAATGATGGTGTCACTGAATCTGGCATGCTGTTTTCTCTTCTGTTAAATGAGAGGGTCAGAGTTGGTGATTTTTTTTTTGAGATGGAGTCTCCCTCTGCCGCCCAGGCTGGAGTGCAGTGGCACAATATCAGCTCACTGCAACCTCCGCCTCCTGGTTCAAGCAATTCTCCTGCTTCCTGAGTAGCTGGGATTACTGGCACCTGCCACCATGCCCAGTTAATTTTTGTATTTTTAATAGAGATAGGGTTTCACTATGTTGGCTGTGACTTGTCTCAAAATCCTGACCTCAGGTGATTTGCCCGCCTCAGCCTCCCAAAGTGCTAGGATTAGAGGCATGAGCCACTACATGCGGCCTCAGAGTCAGTGATTCAAACAACGATGATTGGATAGTTTAGACTTAGGGGCAGAGTGAGGGGCCCATTCCCTGAAAAAAAATCATGGAGGTATTTTCATTCGTGTTATAGGCTTCCCTAGTACTGGTAATTCCCAGCAGCCTTCTATAATTCCAAAGGTCAGAAATCAACTGCCAAAAAATTTTTACCAAATCATGTTCTGGTCTGGGAAACAGCCCTGAAATGCACTTTGAGCAAGACTTTGTGGAGGAGAAAAAAGGTGGACCAATGAGGATTGGGCTAGAACAGAGGAAAGTGAACATTCTTGGTTTAGATAAATATCCACAAAGTTTTTATGTTTACTACAGAGAAGCTCCAGACTCCTACACTTCCCTGTGAATAGTTTTAAGAAGCTATGGTAGGCTGGGCACAGTGGCTCATGCCTATAATCCCAGCACTTTGGGAGGCCAAGGCAGGTGGATCACGAAGTCAGGAGTTCGAGACCAGCTGGACCAATATGGTGAAATCCCATCTCTACTAAAAATACAAAAATAGCCGGGCATGGTGACATACGCTTGTAGTCCCAGCTACTTACTTGGGAGGCTGAGGCAGGAGAATCACTTGAACCTGGGAGGCGGAAGTTGCAGTGAGCCAAGATTGCGCACTGCACTCCAGCCTGGGTGACAGAGCGAGACTCCATTTAAAAAAAAAAAAAAACTATTGTAACAAAACAGAGGCTGGTGGTGACTATGCTTATCTTTTAGAAGAGCCATCATTGCATTTCTGCAGCACAGAATATGTATGTGTTTTTCACTCTTAGTGGTGGAGTTTATATGTGCCTCATGATGTTTAGTTATTCATTGTCCAATGACACTAAATACTGCTTAGGTAGCTGACTTTTCCCTTTAGGAAAACAGATATTGCTAAAGTCACTGTTCAACTTAATGGAGAAAATTCCACTAACATAAAATATGTGATTTATAATTCAAAAATGTAAATACTCTATTGGTATTACATACTATAAAAGGACAATTGTCTACATAATTACTTAACATGCATGTAAGGATCAATATTTCATTAAGACTATTGCTGTATTCTCAACTGGGTGAGAATTTCAGCCAAATGGTCTATCCATTTTTTTTTCCTTTTTTTTTTTTTTGAGACGGATCTCACTCTGTCACCTGGGCTGGAGTACAATAGTGCAATGTCGGCTCACTGCAACCTCTCCCTCCTGGATTCAAGCAATTCTCCTGTCTCAGCCTCCTGAGTAGTTGGGATTACAGGCGCTTGCCACCATGCACAGCTAATTTTTGTATTTTTAGTAGAGTTGGGGTTTCACCATGTTGGCCAGCCTGGTCTCAAATTCCTGACCTCAGGTGACCTACCTGCCTCTGTCTCCCAAAGTGCTGGGATTACAGCCATGAGTCACTGTGCCCGGCCAGTCCATGCATTTTCTATTTCCCCAGAGTAACTGGTGAGAAATGTCTTAGGCTAGAATTTGCGTATGTATTTTCCATCTTACACATGGCTAAAATATGCAACTTCCTAAACCAGTGGTTCTTGAACATCAGCATGCATTAGAATCACCTGGAGGGCTTGTTAAAACACAGATTGCCAGGCCGTTCCCAGAGTTTCTGATTTAGTAAGTCTGGCGGTTGGATCCCAGAATCTGCATTTCTAACCAGTGATCCCAAGTGATGCTGATGCTGCAGTTCTGGGGACCACATTGTCTTGAACTAACAGCTCTGGATAAAAACCTAATTGGATTCTGAATGCCACAGATGCAGTTTGGAGATTGTTGTTTTTCAAAGCAGAATATCCATTTGTGGAATAAAACAGTTTATCATTGTTATTACCTGAAGTAATTTCTCTTTCCTTTGTGTTTTTAGGGGAGTTTTGTTGGTCACTTTTGGCAGACGTGAGGCCTTGTATTACATTCATTTGGGCCTTTGTTTTATCTCCTTTGTGATTGTGAGCTCTTTGAAGGACTGTGTTCATCTTTAAATTCTTATTGTACTTTACATCTTGTAGACTTCAAATTATTGTTTGGTAAATTAAATTTAGTTATATATACATGTTTTGTGCCTAGTTTCCTACATGTAATAATTATAAATAACAAATATCAAGTTAAGTATGCAGCTCACATATTCTTTTTTTTTTTTGAGACAGTGTCTCACTCTGCCACCCAGGCTGGAGTGCAGTGGTGTGGTCTTTGTTCACTGCAATCTCTGCTTCCTGGGTTCAAGTGATTCTCCTGCCTCAGCCTCCTGAGTAGCTGAGATTATAGGCATGCACCACTGTGCCCAGCTATAATAAGATTTATTCAGACTTTTTGGCTTATAGATATTAGATTTGAGGCATTTCAGCTTTGGAAGAGACCATAAGGATAATCCCAGTCCAAAGGTCCTTGAAGTCCACCACACCTCCTCTACAGCCTACTCATACTCAACTTTAGTCAAAAAAAAAAAAATCCTAAAATATGAAACACAAAATTCCAAAACCCTGGGGTGAGGGAAACACCTTCCTCTGTGGGGCCCATTTCAAGTTTGAGAAGTTGCTCAAACCTTGCCTTTTTACTTCTACCCAATGACCCTATTTCAACCCCTTTCAATATCCTGTTTAGATAGGGAGGGTATTCCCACATCTGTTATTCCCCATGATTTGTTTCCCCTTTCCTTACTTCCAAATCTCCCTGCTCCAGAAGCAAGGGGGCAGCCACAGCCCCATAGCCTCCAGGAGCTGGCTGCTCAGCGCACACAGGCTTGCTATTGACAGGTCTGAATCATGATTGATGAAGGAAATGCTTTCTCCCTAGAAAACAACTTCGAAATTTCCTACTTCAAATCCAGGTTCATTACAGAATTTCTTACCACAATGACTTTCCTGGCAGTTGTCTGCAGTGTTATCAAGAGATGACATGGACTTCAAGGATCAAACGGGAGAAAAATGCTTAAAAGAAAAACAAGTCTTCGTCGAAGATAATAACCACAATGAGAAATATACATAGCTATGTGCTTACAGGTCTTAGTTCACATTCCCCTCATTTAAATTTTAGCTCAAAAAATAAAGGGCTGTGTTTAACCACTTAGGTATATAAATACACTTCATTCGTATATTTTTTACTTACTAAAGTCTATCCAAACTGGTATTACCTCAAACCATAATTTTCCACTATATTTTATAATTTTTCTTTAAATTGCCATGTATTTTTCCCACTGATGTTCACAAATTCACAGGAAACATCAGCCATGTACTACATAAATAAAATATGAATTGAATCTACAAATAGGACTATAAATTTAATTCACTCACATGTAAAATTTAGACCAAAAAATACAAATGTCTACTAAAAAATACAGCCAGGAGTGGTGGTTCACACCTGTAATCCCAGCACTTTGGGAGACCGAGGCAGGTGGCTCATCTAAGGCCAGGAGTTTTGAGACCAGCCTGACCAATGTGGCAATTCCACATCTCTACCAAAATACGAAAATTAGCTGGGTGTTGTGGTGGGCACCTGTAATCCCAGCTACTTGGGAGGCTGAGGCAGGAGAATTGCTTGAACCCTGGAGGCCGAGGTTGCAGTGAGCCAAGATCACGCCACTGCACTCCAGCGTGGGTGACAGAGTGAGACTCTGTCTCAATAAACAAACAAAAAAACCCAACAGATTTAAAATACATTTTAGAATCCTGTTGAGCTCTGCATTATTGGGAGCAAAATCAAATCATGGACATAAACACTTTGAGAAAAGCAAGAGAGACACATGACACAAAAAATGAAAGCTTCCATGCTGGAGATGGACATGGATATATAAAAGACATGTAACATCCACAAGTCAGAATGGAAAAGAAAGCAAGACATAGAATTTGTGAGAATAAAACTCACATAGAAATAAGGGAAATGAGCTTTCATAGTATCTGGTGTAGACTTTCAGTAAATTGCCACCAAATATTTTTAAAATTAGGACACATTTTCCCAACCATAAGCATAAATGAGTTAGCCTTGATATCTGCCTTATGAATTGGGTAAAATTAAGCTGAGGGCCAGATGTTTTCCATCTGTGTTTTAGATTATGCTAAACATAAAATGATTAGAAAGCACCCATATATGACTGAACGGTTTAACTATATATTAAAAAATCAGATGACATCAAGACACTGCCTTAGACTTTAGAAAATTTTAGTGTATGTTGATGTCAGAATTTTGATAAGTAATGAAAATATTAGATGAATAGTTTTACTGTAAAATGAACTTCCATTTCATAATAGGCATAATGAATCTTCATAATGCTGAAACAACTTTTTAAAAAGTGAAAGTTGCAGATTTTCCAGGTGGTATCAAACCAATAGCTAGATTTATTTACCCTGAATTAAATGTTGGCATTAGGTAGACAACCAAAATGTATTAGTTAATGTGGTTTATTATGTGTTGTGCATATACTACTATAGTTCATATGCAAGGATTGAATTATGAATTAAGTCTCAAATATCCAATGGAGGATTATATTTTAGATAATTTCTAAAGATACGGAAAGAAAAGTATGTAAAGTCTAGAAAGGGAAGTCATCAAAATGTCAGCATGAAACTGTATCAATCATCATGGACAAATCTTCAACTGGCATTAAGAAGTTGTAATAGTAAAACAATTATGAAACTCTCAGTCCACAGCTGTTTGATTACATCTTTGTTGAACAAATACCACTAGTTCATTACAGTAAGGAACATTAAGTACGTTATTCTACAATGTCCATAAATTAATCTGAAACATTGCTGTCTCTGGCAACATATCAGATTCTTTAAAAACAATCAAGGAAGGAGCAACTGACATCAAGATCTTTATACAAAAATGTGTTGAGTCTGAACATCAGAGAAAAAAATTTACTGTCTATATTAAATAGATTGCATGCCACACTAATCAGGTTACCATTATAGTGGCCCAATAATAAAATGTGTAATTTTGTTGTATTAATCTAAACATGTATCTCACTACCAACATACATCTATCTAGATATTTTCCTTATTTTTTCCTACTCTATTGAACTATGGTGGCACATAACATTTCAAAACTGTCCTGGCTCTCATACTCTTTTAAAGTTCCCTCTGTCATGCAAACCAGAAGAAGGTCATGATATTTAATAGAAAATTAATATCACTTGTTTTGAGTGGCCCTCAATTTGGGACATTAGCAAACTGTAATTATACTTACTGTAACACAAAGCTTAAGGTTTGAATCTGATTCTATAACACAGACCATTTCCCAGTGACAATGGTCAACTTACCTTGACCAGTCATTATTTAATATGATGAGCTAATGCAAGTAAAAGTGGCTTGCAATTTTAGAGCCTTGAACAACTTACTAGATGTTTATGTGAATTTGAAGTCATAGCTATAACAATATTCTGTGAAATGGTCACAGCAGAAATGAAATAAATAGAAAACACTGAAGAAGTTACTTTTTTTTTTTTTTTTTTGAGACGGAGTTTCGCTCTTGTTACCCAGACTGGAGTGCAATGGCGCGATCTCGGCTCACCGCAACCTCCGCCTCCTGGGTTCAGGCAATTCTCCTGCCTCAGCCTCCTGAGTAGCTGGGATTACAGGCACGCGCCACCATGCCCAGCTAATGTTTTGTATTTTTAGTAGAGACGGGGTTTCACCGTGTTGACCAGGATGGTCTCGATTTCTTGACCTCGTGATCCACCCACCTCGGCCTCCCAAAGTGCTGGGATTACAGGCTTGAGCCACCGCGCCCGGCCAAGAAGTTACTTTAAACTAATTACTTAAAACCCCACAATATTAGAATAAAAAGTAGTACAACTTGGGGTAAAAAACTGACTTTTCTACAAATGTTACTGTTTCCAATAGGTTTCTGCAAGAGGCATGCTTGGCAAGATTAATTTTTTAATCGGCATATTTTGTTTGACTACAGTAAACTAGTTTAAAAGAATATACAATATAGTCAGAAGATTTAAACACTAGTTGAAACTAGAAAATAACATGGGAGACTACAGTTGTATTTTCTTTAACATAATTTACTTTCATTCATTACCAGTACTACTTAAAAATAGTGATCAGTGAAGAGTATATTTGCACAATTTTATCTTGAGAAAAGCAGAAAACTACAGTGTTAATAAGTTCAGAAAGACACAATTCTAAATTAATTAATTTACTGATAATGCAATTTCTCCATGTTTCAAAGTTCTCGAAATGGTTCAAAAACTGTTAAAATTAAAATAATATCACATGGATTTTAGTATTTTAAAAAATATAACATTCAGGCCGGGCACAGTGGCTCATGCCTGTAATTCCAGCACTTTGGAGGCCAAGGCAGGTGGACCACGAGGTCAGGAGATCGAGACTATCCTGGCCAACATGGTGAAACCTGTCTCTACTAAAAATACAAAAGTTAGCTGGGAGTTGAGGTGCGTGCCTATAATCCCAGCTACTCGGGAGGCTGAGGCAGGAGAATCACTTGAACCAGGGAGTCAGAGGTTGCAGTGAGCCAAGATTGTGCCATGTCACTCCAGCCTGGTGAAAGAGTGAGACTCTGTCTCAAGAAAAAAATAAAAATAAATAATATGTAAATAAAACTTTGTTATATTTGCATGCTAACAAAACAGTTGCTTTAAAATTTATAATGTCTACTGACATTTGAGACAATCATTAACATATTTTCTTCAATTAGTTATTTAAACTTAATTGAATTGTGTGCTGGGATCTTTAAGTGAAACCTTGAATGAAGCTGGTGGATTAAACTTACTTTTTAAATGTTGCCTGCTTTTGAAATATTGCAAATTCTATCAGATTTGCAGTGGTACAATGAGCAAGCTTTTCAATTGTAGCCAAGTTAAACACTATACTTTTTTAATTTGCAGGTGCAATTAAGTAAAACCGTAAGTTATTCTGTCATATGACTTTGTTCTGTTTTAAAAAATTATATGTATATATTTTTAGTAAATTTAGTAGATATATTTTAGTAAATTCCACATAGTTTAATCTAGTTTTTCTCTTAATAACTACAAAGTTATCTATTTCCAATATCTCATTTGTTTAGATATTAAATTCCATATGTTTTATCTACTTTTTTTCTTAACAACCAAAAAGTTATAAGAAACTTTACCTTAATATCTCTAAATAAATGATTGGATCTGTCAATTATAGCTAGTAGACTCATTTTGAAATTGCCATTTTTCTTTCTCTACTAAGATCATTCTTTCAGATGAAAGAATCATTTCAAATTTTGAGTCCAGAGCCTTTGGTCTTTTCATTCTCTAACAAGGATTCCTCTTTCCCACCAGTTTCCAAAAATCCTTTTCTGGATCTATAGTCGATCCCAGGGCATGGTTCAGATGTGAATTTCTGTAACTTTTCATGGAAAGGTGAGTTTCTATAACTTTTTTCATTGATTTATACATCAAAATGTGTAGTATTTTGATTAAGATTACATATTTAGGTGTATATTAATGTTACTGCCTAGCAACTTTATCACTATTGCTTGGAAAACTGCCACACCCTTGAAAATTTAACCCAAACTTCTCTTTCTGGGTAAAGAACCATGAAGACTCACATTTTAATTTGTCATTAAATAGTTCCAATATCTCTTATTCTAAGGCATATTGCCACCATGAATCTAATATTCATTTACTACCTTGTCCCACGTTCCAGAATAAAAATACTATCTCTTAGGAGTATAAAATTCTTATCTCAATTATGTTGATGTTTGTGTTTTACTTAATATAAGATTCAAGAACAATCCTCAAAGCTTTTAAAAACCGATCCTTCAGTCTGACTTCAAATAAAAGGCAAGGTAAAAGCAGTTTGTAAACTGCGAAATCCTATCAATTTGTACAACTTCTTTAATGAAAAAATTATTCGGCTCTATTAAAATTTGGCATTAATGATTCTAGCTTAACATGTTAATAAAATTTAGAACATTTTCTGTGCTTTGCTAATCTTAAATCAGAAGACTTAACTGCTGATTAAAGGTTCAGTTACAGGTTTAAAAACTCAAATATTAGAAAACATCAAGGAGTTAGTTTAGACACGATGAAATATTTGTAAAC